AAGTGAAAAATGTAAATAGTACAATACACATCTCAAAACTATTAATTCTATTTTGAGCTGTCACATGTTGTTAAATAAAATGTAATCTATATACCTTGAGAATATATTTTAATAGAAATATTAACTCTCGAGGGGGTGGTATTATATTTTAAGTACGTACTTTAAATCCAAACATTACCCTACTCGAGTCTCTTGAGGTTTGTATGGACTAGTGTAAATTAGTAAAACTGGGGTTTATCTACGTACAACATCACTTAATTTTATATTTAACATAAAAATTAGATAAGTTGCCCATACACAAAATTATGATTTTGGAATTTTTTCTTAATTTGTAATCCACTCAGAATAATAAAAATTAGATTTTTGGATAAAATTATTTTATATTTATAACTACTTATTTTTTATGTGAAACATGTAATGAGGTAGGTGATATTGGCTGTGGGCGTGAAGACATCGCCATGCGCATAACATCTAACGCTCCTTTTTGAAATAAAAAATCATTTCTCTTAAAAAAATCTGACTATTTTTTGTTTGTGATTATGCCAAGAGATTTGATTAACCATCCTTTAAATGTCCATGCATATTTTCTATATAAAATAATTTTGATGTTTCATATCTGCCAGGCCTCTTGTAATGGGTCACTTTTCAAACATTCATAAGTACTGCCCTGAGGGTCAAATGTATAGCGTAAATTATTTCAAAAAATTAAGAAACATATCAACATGCAAAATTTAAATAAGCATATCTAAATAACAAGACGTAGTTCTATGAAATGTATAACAGTTAGACATGTTTGAAATGTTAAATCAAAAAAATCAATGTTAAATCTAAAATAAAAGTATGTTATACAATCAACATGTTATATTAAGGTGTAATAGTTTAAAGAATAATTATCGAATAAAACAGAAGTTAGTTCGAAAGTTAAACTGCATTTTTTTCCGGTCCTGGGATATTAAAATATGTAGTATACAAATTTAAGTTCATGTGCCTAGTGCCTACTCCTCCTAGTCTATCCCCTGCTATCGCGGACGTGCACGATCATACCCCCTCCTCCTCTCATTCCATCTATACCTATCACATACATACCCAGCCGTGCCACCTCCCTACCCCTCCCATCTAAACCTATCGCGTAAGTGTGAGGCCATGCCCCTTCCCTTCCCATCTATGAACATCACAGAAGTGTCTAAAAAATCCATTTTTAAATCTATTTTTCGTGTTTAAAAAAAAAAAATATATATATCAAAAAATAGTTTTTAATTACTCGACTAAAACATTTCACCAAATACATACAATCAAACTAGGAAGTTATAGTGGCTAACACTCAAATCAAATATTTCTGTTTTATATAGAAGTAATAATATAATAATAAATTTGTTTTTATTTGTAGGTGCGTGCTCTTAAAAAAATGTATTTAAAAAAAATTACAGGACATTGTAGGTATATGTTACCGTCAAATTCTTGCAAAAATGTCAGTTGGAGTTTTTAATTTTAGCGTGCATTTCGTACTTACCGGGATTTCTAATCGACATTTTTCACAAAAACGAACACTACGAGGCAAGTTTTGGTAATTAGGTGGAATGTGGATCGGCGGTGCTTTTTGGGTTTAGGAGACCCACCGGCAATTCGCCAGATGGCGTGGCTCATGAGCAGTGGTTATTATATACTTGTTTTGTTAAGATGGATCGTGCTTGAGTTTTTATTTCCAATTTCTAATAACATTATATGACACATTGATATTGTTCATGAAATTAGAATATTTTTTGTCTTTTGAAAAATGTTGTTCTACGGCTAGATATAATCTAAACATTTGCGTGTACCCTTCATTAAGGGCTAAAATAATGCTGGCATAATATTCTTATCAGCAGTTACTACAATTGGTAAGGCTTGTTTTTCTATTTCATTCATTTTTTTCTTTAAGCTCTTTAATTTCTCTTAACATTGATTCGTTTTTATAATCATTTTATTTTCGGGTAAGTACGTTAAAAAAAAAATTAAAAATTATAACAATTTTTGTACATTCTAAACTTAGTATTTAATAATTTATCATTTCCAAAAAAAATTGAATGTCCATTTCCAGCCAAACTAAAACATACTAAAACTTACAACATTATAATATTTTTCATGTAAATATTTTTTTTTAATATCCTCGGTATAATTATCTTCAATCTAAAAAAAAACTAACATTATTATTTTCAGTTAAAAATTACTGGAAAAACATTATAATATTATATACTTACATTATAATTATACAAGATTTCATTTTTTCAAACAAAACACAATTTCGAAGACTGAATTACACAATGGTTATGAATTTAAATATTTGTTGAACGTAACCAAGTATTAGTATGGTTGTTGGTTTTTATTTGTTATTAGCTATGTTCCATAAATTAAAAAATATAATAATAATGCACAACATTAATTTATAGGTATAACCGATGTTCGAGGCAGCCGTGATGCTTATACAGTTATAATACGAGACTTGCAATTGGCACTCGTAATAATCATCGACTAACGGTCCACAGGTAGCGACTATAAGATTGTATGCCACTCTGTCTTTATCGAAAATATAATATTCGATAATGAAATTCAATTACGTACATGACATACCGCCCGCCTTGAAATACCATTTCAAATATACAGCTGACAATGATTAATTAATAACAAATAAATAATGAGTTCAATAACTCGGCGAATAAACATATGAATATTGACATTAGCGTATAAGATAAAACAAAATAGAAACAAATAATAATAATATACATTCAAATGAATCACGTGTAATTACATTTTTCGTAGACAAATGCAAAAAAAAAAAAACCGAAAAAATTTCAATTAACATGATGATTTATTGCTAATATTTGACCTTCTCCATTTCCCTCGAATGGCACAAATTTTGCACCGCTCGCTTTCATTGACTGTAACTGGTGCGGACGACAGCTACTCTCACTATTCCATTCGGGTCTGAGTGTGTTTCGATTATCCGACCGAATTTAAAATGTAGCGAGGAGAGATTATTATCCTCTCGGACTATTACGGTTGTGCCAATAAGCACGGACCTTTGGGCTGGTGTAACAGGCGATATTTACCTTCGGTAATATTTTAATATTTACCCCCACCCGGTAACTATAACCTAGGATATATTTACCGTGGGAGGGGGGGGGGGGGGGAAAAATTTTTTAGGGTAATAGAACCCTGCGACACCGCACCATTTTTCCCTTGCAAGCAACGTACTCAAGTACTCGCGCTGCCAACAGCACCAGAACAGTTGTTTCACTTTTCGCCACCTCGTCAGCCTTTGGAGGTGTGGTCGACCTCGATACATCGCCCTCGAATAACGCAGCTAAAGTGTTGCCGATAAGAAAGTGACCGGGCGTAATGACAGAGAGGTCAGTCGGGTCAGAGGACATAGGAGTGATTGGATGCGAATTTAATATAGGCTCCATGCGTACAAGTACAGTGTATAATTATTCATAGGCGAGAGACGCATTATCTATTGTTTGATATATATGAGATTTCACGGATTTGACAGAGGCTTCCCAGAGGCTGCCGAAATGTGGAGAGCGCGGTTAGGTTAGGCTAAAATGCCACCGAGCACCAAATTTATTTAAAATGTTTTGTAGTTTTTTTTGGTGAACTTCAGATAAAAATAATTCTTTTAAATCTTGTAGATGACGATTCGTGACGACAAAATTGGTGATATTATCAGAATAAATCTGTGCATATGCCACGACGGTCGAAAAAACGATTAAGCGCATTCAAGAATGCTTCAGTAGTCAAATTACTTTGCTTTACACAACACAGAGTCATATATTCTCCCTTGTGAAAATTACATCTACATTGATTGGGCAGTAACCAAACCTATTGAAATAACAGATGAAATTCGATTTATAAACAATGGGCAAATGGGCTAGCATTACTTTTCTCTGAAATGAAATATGAACTGAACGGTATTCAAATTCAGAAACTCGCTAACCCAGGTATAACTTCGACATTAAAAGGATATTACTTGTATAATAAATCAGATATTGTTTCACACTATAACACTACTTGGGACGATGATATTAAAAATGTTTATAAAGATTTTATCGAGAGCGTTATGTTTAGCGGATGTATTAATCTCGAAGAATTGTTTTGGTTTTGCGAATACTATAAACGTATTTTAGTAAACTGCAATCAACAACTGATATTAAATAGAGAGCCGTTAGATATAAATGCGGTTAAGCAGTATGAAAATAATGAAGTTATTGTAGACGCACCTAGACTAAAAGATGTTTGATTAATGTCACTAAAATATCATGGAGGATGCCTATAGTTAAGGTTAGTGGTAAAGAAAAAATACAATTGTTGATGAAAGTGGTAAACCATCAAACACCTCTAAAATGTGCATTTAGATTGTGGTAGTTGTGTGAATACCCATTTCTACCTCAAAACACATCACATTAGTGGAAAGTACAAACATCTAACTGATTAGAAAATACCCGATATGCTATAATCGGATTCCAGACTGATAGGAAAAACAGTATAAGTAAAACAATGTCATATTTTGATCATTGTAAAATCAAAAACTTGAAGATTTATTTTAATTCTGAAGTATTCCCTTACGAAGATTTTCAAAGCGACTTTACTAAGAACAAGATGGCTACATTATATCATTCATACGCTGAGTTCCAGAAATCGTGTTATTCTCGTGATAATGTTACACCTCTCTCGACTCGATCGGATTTCAAAAAAATATCACTGATCATGGTTGTAGATATGAGTAGACAAAACGATTATGTGAAAACTTTGACTGTCGACCTAAGAATTGAGGTTGAAACCGAAGAAGCGTATCTAGGTATCCTGTATCCTGTATCTACTTCAGCATATTGTTTAATATTACATGCCAAATTATAACTTATAATCAATTTAATGGTGAAATAAGAACATTGTAAATATTAACTGTGAAACTTAATATTATTTTAATAAATGAAAACATACATTTTATAATAAATTGTGTCTTTTTTCACAAAAAAATATTAATTTATATATAATTATTAAAAGAGTTTATGTTTAATTCTGCGTAATGGTGTTAAGAAATCTGCATACGTTGGTTGATTTGATAGATGTGGTGGATGCATGTTGAAAAAATCAGGACCATCATTTACATCGAATGACTGTTGTAAGCTGTCAATTAAATTGTATAACTGAAAAAATAATATTCATATCAAAATCATGTATTTATTATTATTATTATTTTATAAATTACCTATGCTCTGAGAATATCTTGCGTCTCATTATGCATATCAAATGTGTTATCTAAAATGTTGTTTGGCGGTGAAGAGCTTGCTGAGGTTGGAGAAATTGCTGTCACATTTCCATCAAATAACTAAAATAATGGATGTATTAATTATTTATGAAAGTGATATAAATATATTTTTTAAATGACCTCAGGTGACATTTAACTATTCCGCCGTTATATCGAATGTTCTACTAATTGTGATAATGCATATTTTTTGAGCTAACTGATGAAATTAATATCATGTTTAGGACTGTTTTGCAATAATATGATCATCGTGACGTATATTCTTGATAAATTTAGTCATCTCTTCACTCGTTGTTGCTTTTGATTTAACTTTGATAAGTTCTCCAGCGAGATATTCAGTAAATATTTCAAATTGATTTAAGATGATTGGTTGAATGATAGTTGATTGAACAATTGTTTCGAAAATACACCACTCTAAATATTGAAGTCGCATGAGCTCCGTAAAATTTAAAAGAATTCGACATCCGACATGTATCTTAGACTCTAAAACTAAGGTGTTTTCACTGTTATACACCATGCTCGATAATTTGAATTTTTCTTTCTCAAGAAATATAGTTCTTTTATATTATTTTCCTGGCTGCTCCAAAACAAATGATAGGATATTACCCATAAGTAAAAAAAAAACCGTTGCAGAAACTCAGTTTAAATATTAACATAACGCGATGGTGTTATTATATGCACTGCTACTCTAAACATATCTATCGGATCGATTCCAATGTGTATAAAGCTGTTGTCTCCATTTTATAAGAGCGTAAAATATCAAATTTTACGTTCAGCAGATCACTTTTAGCTCAGTTAGTTTTAAAATTAGAGTGAATTAACCTCTTTTTAAAATTAAAGGTAAGATTATTACGGGGATATTCTCATGGGTTTTTTATTATATTTTAATTTTAAAGATGAGTATTTAAAAATTGTAAATTGTTTCTACAACTAAAAATACTCAAAACTCTTTTTAAAATTAAAATATAATAAAAAACCCATAAGAAGCCCTCCGTAATAATCTTAGCTTTAATTTTAATAAGAGGTTAATTCACTCTAATTTTTAAGCTAACTGAGCTTAACGTGATCTGCTGAGCTTAAAATTTGGTATATTACGCACTTGTAAATCGGAGAAAACACATGCGGGTATAACGTCCTCTTAAGTATAGAGAATAACGAGTTGCTAATAGAGCGCTGAGTGATTGTATTACTACTGATGATATTGTAGACACCACTCACCTTTATTTATACCCAAAATAATGTTATGATATAGGTTTAATAGTTTTGTTTACTATAATATGCAGATCATCATTAAAAAGTAATTACAATTTGTGCACTTTAATATTTCGTGATACGATTTTAGGAAGTTCAATATAATATTATTAATTCTTACAGTAATATTTTTTTACAAATATATTATAAGTAAGGAAGGGTTTGTATAATAGTACAGTACTAAATACATTATATGTTCATATACATTTTACAGTTGTGTGAGGTGTGATAATATATGTGTGTGTGTGTGTGCTGGAAAAATATATCACAGCTAACGTATATAATATTGTATGTTTGATTTCAAGGCCTAACATGTACTTGATAAATATGGAAGTGAGGAGGATGGTTAGACACATAGGTGATATGCATCGATGGTAGAGGAGTACACCATACGGTGTATCGTGGATATTATATGCGTAGATGGGAGCGGAATGGGTACGGCAAGACACTTAGTGATAGGTATGGATGGGACGGGTAGGGAGGTGGAACAGCTGGGTACGTATGTGAAAGGTACAGATGAAATAAGAGGGGGAAGGGGTATGATCGAGCACGTCCGCGATAGCAGGCTTGCGGATAGACTAGGAGGACTAGGGACTAGGAACATACATTTTTATACCACTATTAAATATCATCACAATTTTACTGTATTACCTGTCATGTAATTATATATGCACCTACGTTATTTTCTGTTATCTGTTTGATAAATATTTTTTACATTACTTACTATTTATTATTTAAATAAAACTATGAACATTTTTTTTACTCTTTAAAAAATATTCTAATATGATAACCTATACGATATTCCATTATTGCCCAACAAATAACAAAGTATGTTTTGGCTATTATGGACAATGTACTCATGTACTCGTACAATTTGTATTTATTATTTATCTACGTGCAGTTCTAGTTTTGGAAACATTTTTAAAACCACATGTAATATCTACCTCCATATTTTTAAGTATAAAATAATAATAAATTGCTTGTACATTTTTTTTTCAAATACATATTTAACAGTGAAATTGTTTATTCGGTTGAATAAAAATAAATAATCACTCTTTTAATTTCCTTTACTTAAAGTATGTGGTATACTTACACAAAAAGACACAATAAGAACTTTTTGATACTTATATAACTATACCGTAATGTTTTTAGTATCATGATAAAAGTGACAGTTCAATAGAAGTATCATCGGTAGATTTATTTTTGTTTTCAAAGTTAATTTATTTACAGAAAATTAGAGAAGAGTTGAATCGTGTTCATGTGAAGATCAAACTTGTTTATGAACAATACATCTGACATAAAATCGTTGATAAATTTTAAAATAGTGTATGCTCATACACTGTTATGTAATATAACATTCGATATTATATTGTATTGGAGAAGTATAATTGAAAATATTGGATTAAATAGAGTTTGTCACTGAGGTAGGTATGAAGTTTAATGGTTTGACAGGATCGTATTCTTTAAAACCCTACAACTATAAACACCTATTGGAAATGGATTTATATATATATATATATATATAATATATATGTATGTATTTTTTTGCAAAAGTTATTTCGAGTATATTGACAAACAATTTTATTTGACGAATCTAAGATGCAACATTTTTAACAAATTATAATCGAAAAATGAACCACAATTTGAAATATATTTTCTTTTTTAAATATATTTTAAGAAAAAGTAATAAATTTAAAAAAAAAAAACGTGGTATCCATTAAAAATATTTAAGTAGGTTGGAAGCCAAAAAAATGAGAAAAAATATAATTATTATGATGCATAAAGAAGATGTGTAATATAACATAATTACCTTACTTTAAAACAAGCTTGAAACGAGTAAAAAGAAAAGTTAGCTTGTTTCGGTTTGAGTTTTATACAATAATACCCTAAGTTAGTCTTTTATCAAAGTTACGGCTCGAGTATTTAATTGAAGATATTGTATTGAAATAGCTTTGTCGTATAATTGGAGTAATAGATATTATACTCACAACTAAATTTTTTTGTAAGTTTACTTTCATCCATTGTTTTAACTTACCTAATACTTTTGTCTAAAAAATAGTGATTATTTATAACTATGTTTTTTGAGGGATAACAATAATACGTCAATACTTATTTAATATAAGGTAAGCATAATAAATTTACTAAGAATATTTAACAATTAATAAAAAAATAGTGTTATCTGAATTTTGAATTTCATACCACAAAAAAATGATTAGACGTATTTGAGACGAAAAAAACGGGTTTTAAAATTAAACAATTTATACAATTTATTTTTACAAATGATAATTTTTTATAACATTTAATTTCTTTAAGGTTATTGACATCTGTTGTCAAATGTCAAAAAATAAAAATAAAATAAAAAAACTGGGTCTGACAGTCTGGAAAGTTGTAAACCCTTACAGACGTATATAAATGTATAAATGTTTTCACTGTCATTGAATTTAGAATATTTTAATATTCGATGTATGACTGAAATTCAAAACTATAACTTTTCAAACAAGTATTTACATTTTCTAACAACTTCAAAAATCATTTGTTAACATTACAAGACGTTACATATACGTGTTTAAGTTAATTATTATAGGTATGCTTAATATTTCAATAACATAATCCATTTGGTGTATTATTTCATTATGTGTTTGACAACATAAAAAAATATAAGACACTTGCATGCCATTAAATATAATATGAGTTTATGAGTGACTATTATGTTATGTATGTGTTTTAAATATTTTATTCTGCTTTTTAGTCTGTGTTTAATCTTAAAATATTTTAGCTTACTGGAATTGTTATCACATCTTTGAATGTTGAATGCAAATACAGAATTCGTGTTAAGTCGTATTTAATAATACAAAAAATCACGTTTTTTTTTTGTTAATAGTAATGTTTTTAACTGTTTATCACAATATGGTATATGTATGTGATGACTCACTCAGTTTTAGAACTTTGCTGGGCTTCCAAGGCCAGTCGGGTATAAGTCGTGTAGGATGAGGCTTAAACACTTTATGACTAAACACTGGTCTCTCGGTATAATAATTATTGACTATTGACTGTAGGTATATATATATTTTTATCAAGGATAAAACTTCTGATAACTTCTGTAAGTTTTGCATCGACTGGCCCATTATAAATTTCTCGTCTCATCACACAGTAGAATACATTTCAAGGCGCTATCATCCACAGCCAAAAACAAAAAATAAACGGTACTCTCTCGGGCCCACCGGGGACGGGCAGCTGACACTCTCAAAATAAAATCATATTATGGTCTCACCCTTCAAATTAAATCGAATGAAAATAGTTCGGGTACCTACCACACTATACGACAGCAATTGTCAGGTCTAGCTTATTCTCTTGAAATCTTGCTGTACCGTGTCGGGATCTTGCCCCGGGTAATAACCAGACTCGGACGGTATTCACTAAACGGAATAACCTTGTTCTCGTTCACTTTGGACTGTGAAAAATAATTTTAAGGATACTGGCAATCTGTGACACTTCTGCGGAAAATACAAATTAAGATTAGAAACTTATAGTATATTATCATTATAATGTAGTAATAATATATAAACGAGGTCAGTTATGTTTGGAAAGCAATTTGTACTGTCCATGTAGCTTAAACAATATCGTGTCATTATTAATTTCAGTAACATTATATATTTTTCTAATATGAGCACACCTGTGATGGCGATCATTTATGGAATAAAAGGAGTATTTAGTTTTTATACGAAAACTATGACCACTCAACATGACATTATAATGTTATCATATAACGTAACTCATCAAGTTGTTATGTCTGGATATTTATAGAAATATTAATTTTATTATATTATTGTTTCATAAAATAATAACTCGAGTATAATAATATAACTTGAAGTGTTTTTACTTATACATTTATCAGTTTTTAATAAAACTAAACCAAAGACAATTGTGTTTCATACAACTTTTTCAGAGACTTTCTCGTTAAGAATTAACTTACAATATTTATAGTTTTATACTTTTATAGACTTCCAACTTTGTGCTTTTATTTACCATCAATGACTGTGATGAAACAAAACTATTCGCAGTTGATACAAAATATGGATAATGTACACAATGATAAGATAAATACAAAAGGGAAAATCAAATAAACGAAAACATAGAGCCAGTTGCTATCAAAAATAATCAAAACCATCATTAGGTATAATTATAAATTATTTGAGAAATTTTATAAGGTCTGTAGTAAAAATTCACGCTCCCTAAAATAGGTAATAGCGTAAATATTGTACAATATGAGTTTACCTATTTGTTTGGAAGATGGCTCAAACAGTCAAGGAACACGAATCCCGAATAAAAACAAATTAAAATCTATTGTATTACTGTCTGCTCTATACTGCAGGTGGGTGATTTCGATATTATTCATATTGCAGATTAGGACGTCACGTCGCCACAGGATTATATACCTAATGTATAAGCAATTCCAAATTCCTAATTGTTACTTATGTACCTATGTTAATTATTATCGTGCTCGTGGGTTATTCAGCCATCAGTCCGCTGCAGGTTTGTCATTCACAAATGGGACAGATTAACTCCGCTAAACTGATAAATACTACATTACCGAGCTCAACGTCGACGTTAAAGCTGATTTGATATTGTATTAGTTCAGTCACTACCGGCTGACTATTATTATGATTATGTCACGAATAAATTACTGTTTTCAAATTGGATTTTGTTTAGTGGCGGCTGTATAGCTACTAGTACTACACTATAGTCAGTATACCTACCGTACAGTAATTGGACTTTGTGGAACATTCCGTTTCAAAATAACTATTAAAAATACATGTGACAAACTTTAACGAAAAGCGAAATAAACTGGAGTTCATTATTTAATGCCTAGACACGAATAAGAATTCGCCTATAATGCATTATAAATTACTTACGAGTCAACTTTAAAATATGACTTCAATATAGGTACACACATCGGAACAATGCGAGAGAAGGACAACGCGGTGGTCGATTGTAAAATTTAATCCGCCGACAACAAGAGACTATTCTAACTCGAATCCTCATAAGGCACACACTGCAGTGCAACCGTTCATCGCTAATTCAAATCCTGAAAACGTGCCAAAAAAGGAGTAAAGGGGCAAACAAAGAAATTAACTAACGTGCCGAAATCGTACTTTAGTTCACCAAAACCGCCAGAATCGTCTACTCCACATCCAGGACCAATATATTATATTTTATTCTGACGAAGTGAGAATATCATGATAAATCTTAAGATATACGAACACCTACTCGAATACACTATTGATTGTGTTGTAACAATCAGCGTATTTCCTATATTTCCTATATTTGAGTTTGTTTTCACCGACAAATTAAGTATTTTACATTTTTATCTTGTTTCAACTGAAAGAATATTAACATTTATTTAACGATGATTAAAAATAGATATGGACCTACCTATTTTTTTCTTAAAAAAAACAACGTCATATTCTACAACAAAATTAAAAACTTTTAACTCTGTAAACTATATAAAATATAATACACAAGCAATTGAAATGTATGAACATTAAATGATTAAGTACTAAAATAATATTATATAGACAATCTCATCAAATGTTGCATTTGATAACATGATGAAATGTTTAAATACTATACTATGGGTTTTTTGAGTTGTCCTCATCTGTACATAACATTAATTCACTCAAAAATAAATCGTTATGAGCCAGGGTCCAGATCAGAATAATTACTATAAAATAGTTACACTTAATCCTAATCATTATAATATAGATATGTAGTACATAAAATGACTTAATCACTAAATGCGTATAGATCTAAAAAAAAAGTTTCCATATCAATGGAAAAGTATCTTATGTACCTATTACCTAGTAATAAATTAGATGAAATATTACAGAGCTCAAAGTTTATATAGTATGATAACACAAAAAATAACCGTTAAAAGGGTTTAAAAAAAAATCAATTATTGCACAATTTTTTATGTTATCGGGTAAAGTAAAAAATATTTTCATCACTTAGTCCATTGATCAAGTCATTCGGATTTTTTTTCAACAAATATTGTTCGTACAAAATTCCCCGTTCTAGTTTACATACATTAACTCCACGTGCGTGTGTTCAAATTAAATTTTCAAGTGTTTTCTTGGTTAAACATTTAAGAACGAAAGAGATGGTTGCATTCTGTGCGCTGGCGTATAATCACAATAATGTTTTATTTTTATGATGGTACCTACGGTAAAAGTTAAAAGATTAATAAAAGATTTTTTAGTGTCGAGTTTTTTTTTTTTTTACCGTTGACTCGTATTTTGATGTACTTTATTTATTTTTATTGTTCCCTGTGTTTTCACGTGTAGAGTGTAAATGATGCGTGAGGATGAATAATAGCAATTTTTTTGTGGTTTCATTTCCAACTTCACTGCCTTTGACTTTTTCTCGTCTGACGACCTACATACATTACATATGTACTAGCTATATATACTCAGTACATAATAAAAACGGTTTTTATTTTTTTTTGGTACACTCTTTGAATAATATTAATGGTCTATTTGAATACCTACTTTTGCATTCTACCGTCCTAGAAACTACTTAGGTGCAGTATGCTCAAGTGGCCACATGTTATATACTTATATGTGACACATAGTAATAATATAACAACTGATGTTTTAAATAACGGTGAAATTGATTCAATCACAAACAAAGTGTACATACATTTGGACTGCAATATTTGAAATGAGATTATACGCTTAAATATATTATATTATAAGACTCGGTTATCAATCCACACGGACCTAGATAATCTATGTGAATGTTATTATAAATAGTTTTAAAATCAAGCGATAAATGAAAATACTATTTTATATAATTTAAGTCTTATATTTTATATACGTGTACCTATGACTTTTTTTTTTTAAATTTTGTAATACTGTATTTTGATTTAGGTTATAATAATATTATTTTAATAACGTTTATTATAGTATAATAATTATTAATTATCAATTAAAAACTTGTAAGGCTGGAACGTGACATTAATTCAAATGAATGTACGATAAGTTAAAAATTTAAACTGCGCCTATATAATATTATAATATACTATTGTACCATTAATATTGTATAAATACAGCTGTTAAAATATTTCACATCAACCAAAGCTTTTAAAGATTAGCAAAAGCATTTATCAATCAAACTCGAGATGTTTCATAATAGGGGATAATGCTTAAATATTAAACAATTATTAAAATAAATATAACTTTTAATCGTTAATGAAATCTTATATTAGATTTATGTTTAAAACCGTAGTGAAGTAAAATTTGTATATATTTAACTTTAAAGATATGGAAAATAAAAACTTTTGAAAGGATCATATTGCGAATAATTGGCACTTATCTCCGCTCTACCACTCCACGGGGTTAAATACATTCTTATTTTTGAAGAGAAAATCTCATGAAGATTATATTCCCAGATTTAAAAACTCCTCTTTCACACGCATTAGTTGTGTACCCACTTCATGTAAGGCTCTTCTTTTTTTTTTATCTCTACTCCTCTCAGGAGTGAACATTATTCTCACATTTCTCCTGCAGAGACACTACATAATAGAAATAATCATGCCATGATTTTTTTTTTATAGTACACATCGTTAAGATTTTGTTTTCTTTTATGTTTAAATAATTAATCTGTACTATTATATGATCGCACATGCATAGTTAATAGTCTTAATTCAAAATAATTCAATTACATTTTAATCTTATTTTCGTATGATGTATTAATTTAATTAAACTGATAATGGCTGATAATAAACTAAAAATATTTCGTATATTATATTATATTATATTATATTATATTATATTAAAATTGATATTGTAAATTATTATTAGATATTCAAATTTTTTTTTAGCTTTAAAAATTCAAGTGCTTAATAACCATCGAAAAAATAAAAAAATGTATAAGTTTCAAAGTGTCAATAAAAACATATGAATATAAAAATGTCTAACATACGTATTAGGTAGAAATAATATAAAAAAATATTAAATATTGATTTCTTAAAAAATAGGTACCAATAATAAACAAAAAAAAATGACCTGAAACCTATAATAAATTACATGGAACATTTTCCAAATGCATTAATTATTTATTTTAAAATACTATTATTGTTCAAAAGTATAAGATACATTTAAAATATTTAATGAAAAATAAATAAATAATATCTTATATTTATAAATTATAAATTAAATTGAAAATAAATATGAAATCAATATTATAGCTACGTAAATTATACAATAGGAAAATAATTTAAAACATGTAAATGAATATTTTAATGTTTATTTCATTTCTTATCTGACATAAAACTGAAAATAAATTAAATAGATAATAATTTCAAATAATTTTTTTGTAAAAATAAAATGTACAAAAGGTATATGTACGAAACCGTGTACTTCAATGCAGAATAACTAGTTCACTAATGACAACAGTACCATTTATTAATTACAATTAATGTGCCGATTTATACTTC